AAATCTTTATAAAATAATCAAAGTCTTCATTTTAGTTTTGTTTTTTTCTTTCTATAACCACATGCTTTTGAATATAATTTTTAAAGAAAGGACCATTAACTTGGTCTGTTCTCAGAATATCTTCTTTAAATTCTTGCTTTGACAGAAACCCACGTGTCCCCAGTAACATTGCTTCCACTACAGCCCTGTCAGGCAGTGATTCTCTTTGTTTTTTTCTTCATCCTTTTTCTATTACTTGCTCACTTGCCCTAGAAGCATAATATGAATCATTTCCAGGTCACTCCTTCTGCTCTGAAGATTTTAGTTCCCTGCTCATAGCCACTGCTTCATACATGACTCCTGTGTTAATTCGTGCCATTTTCAATATTTACATATGTACATCCTAATCTCTCTGTTCTTTAGTTTCCTCAGCTGTGGTTACCTCCTGCCCTGCACTCTCCTGGACAACACCATTACCAAAAATCTCTGCTCTATGATCTCCTTTTCAACAATCTCATTTGCTGATTACCCTTCCAGCCGTACCAACCCATGGGCTCTTAATTTCTTCCATCTCATCCAGACACAAAATCTATTGGTCTTCCTTCACTTTTGCTTGACCTCATTCCCTCCATATTCTCGTTTAATTTCCTTTCCAGCTGTGATACTTTGACCCTTCACAAGAAGAGCTCCTGTGCATGTACTCTCAGTTTACTTTCTCTTACCTACTTTCTTGTTCTTCTCTCAGAAAAGCTCTGGCTCTGGTTAAACCAATTCTGCTATGCCTCTGATGGGGTTCAGACACTGCCGCAAAATACACCACTGGGGAAATAGTACAACATCTCGATGATCTTCTCTCCATCGTTTTTTCGAAGAAGCCCATAACAAAATTCTAATGTTCCTCTGGAGTTGATCATAAAACACGGGTGCCAAACCCTTGAGGAAGGAACATTCTTTTCCTCAAAGACATGAAGAAGAATCTGAACAAGGAGCCCTTGTTCAGGTCTTCTCAGTTATTACCTTTAGGTCAGACCCATTTTTACCACAATCGAAGTTCTGTGAAGTTCTTCATCAAATTGACATAAAAATACGAAATATTTATTTGGCTCTTCATTTCTGAAGTTTCTTGAGTCATGCAAACATGTTAAATAAGTTTATTTGCCTTTGTTATCAACAACCATCAGCCTAGTGGTGGGTAAGAAAGGAAATATTTTCATCTGTACTCCTGCATCCCCATCTGAAAGCCAGAAGACAGGCTTGATTTGGGGGAAGTATCACATTTAAATACAGATTTCCTTTGGGCCCTTGATCCCACAGCTATTTTATTGCTTTTCCATTGAAACAGACTTGCAGGAGCTCCTACTGCCACACTTACCCACCTGCTGTGTGCACTGCCTTTCTTTCCACTTTAATGAATGGATTACTTTGTTCCTGCTTTAGTCTGTGTGCTTAGATTTCTCAAAATTAATATGTTAAAATATCCCAACCCTCAAGGACTGTGATGTTAGGAGGCTGAGTCTTTGCGTGATCATTAGGTCACGAGGCTAGGGGCCAACAAAATACAAGCAATGCCTTAATAGAAGAAGTCTGAGACAGACCTTCCTTCCTTCTGCCCTCTGTGCTCCTAGCAGAACAATAGCAAGCTACGAACCAGGGAGCAGGCTCTGGATCTGTTGTGCCTTGATCTCGGACTTCCCAGCCTCCAGAACTATGAGCAATAAATTCATTTTGTTTGTAAGCCACCCATTGTGTAGGATTTCATTATAGTAGTCCTTGTGGACTAAATCATAATTAAGGCAAAGGTCTCTAATATTGTTACCCTCTCAAGAAAAGCAGTCCAACAATTCTCCCATTCCTCTCTTCTGGGAATAAATTCTGCCTTTCCACTAGACCATTACCATCAAAATAAAAACATGTGGAACTGTTCTGACTCCATAATTCTTACCTACTATCACCACACATATGTCCTAACTTTATCACTACACCTTCTCTTTTGAATTCCTCCAATGAAGCTTTTGCTTATGTCATTCCACTAAAATCACTCCTGTTGAGATCACAAACGGCCTATAAGCTGTTAAATTCAGGAGAGAATTCTCAGTCCTCATTTTTCTTGAGCAGCAACATTAGAACAGCTGACCACTCCCTCCTCTTTGACAGATTTTATTCTCATAGTTTGAGGTCATCACATTCACCTGTGTGATCTCTAATTCTTTGGTCACTCCATCATGGTCTCCTTCTCTGGCTGTACCTTTTCTCTCAACTTCTAAATCTAGGGGTACCCGAGAAATATTCGACCTTCTTTACTTACATTTAATTCCTAAAGAATCTTATGTAGGACAACTCCCAGATTTGTAATCCGAGGTCAGATCTCTCTCTGTACTCTGATACAACTGCTATGTTCTACTATAACACTTATTGAGAATGAAAATTTGATCCAAAAAATTAATATTCAGAACAATTTTGAGCAAAATGCTAATTTGAAACTTGCTCTTATTTATTATTTGTGCTAATTTTGTTTCACCATGGTAATCTATGGCTGGATGGATGCATGTGTTTTAAAAGCTGAGATTTTATTGTGGTTTATTTACATATTTAGCTGGTGCTTTGGGGGTCTTGTTCATTTTAATTTTTAGAATAAATTCAGGAGATCCTGTGAAGTGCACAGTGATTATATGTAAATTTTTATACATATTTAATTTCTGGGGATAAAGGTCATAGTTCATATATTAAAAGGGACCTTAAAAACCGCTTAATAGTATACTCTAATAATGAACATTGGCTTATCTTTTCAGCTTCACTAGTAATCTACACAACTTGAAATATTCATATAACAGTCATAATGCTGAAATGTTATGCCTACCTATGTATTTTTAGAAATAAACTCAGTTGTTTAAAAAAATAATTTAACTTAGCTTTTAAATACTATTGCTAGCTGAGTGTGGTGGTGCACTCCCATAATCTCAGCACTCAGGAGACTGAGACAGGAGGATCACCTTGATTTCAAGGTCAACCTGGGCTACATAGGGAGTTCCAGGCCAGCCTGAACTGTATAGCAAGACCCTGTCTCAAAAAATCAAAACAAAAATATTATTGCTAATGTTTTTGTTTTGTTGGCTTTGTTTCTATTTTAATCTCTTTAAATATACCTTTATGTCTTTATTACAAAGGTATTATACATTTATTGTAAAATTATGTGAATTCTGAAGAGCAACTTGTTCATCATTTATAAGCTTATTTTATAATGTTACTATTTTAAAGTGTACTCTTTGAGGCTTCCTTCCATGTATGATGGCTACTTCTTTATAGACATACATTTACATAATATAAATAACAACCTCCTCCTTTAGTGCTCTGCAAGTTTGAAGTATTATATGAAATACCAATTTAATTTTCTAGCATATGAAAATGAGAACTAAGAAAGAAGAAAACAATCTACAATATAAATAAGATATTTGCAAGAAGGTTATTGTTCACAGAACTATTTGGTCTTTTATTTATACTTGCTTTGTTCTGATTTTACAAAATGCCATACACTTGGTTACCCAGTTTCTAAACCCAAAATATTGTACAAATAGCACATCTAAAGTGGGGAACAGACTGCTACAGGTAGCTACCTTAACAAGAGTGAAATAAAAGTGGGAAAGAGCTAACTGTAGACAGGCTAACTTATACAACTACAGACAGACAATACACACACATATACTGACTTACATATACCAGGACATTTTACCTGGGAGAAAACACCACTTGTTTTAGTCAAATTTTCATCACTGAGGCAAAGTGTCTGACACTTAGAACTTGAAGGAAGGTTGGATTCTTTTGGTTCACAGTTTCATATGGTTCAGTCCATAGCTCCAAGGCAAACATAACAAGGCAAGAGCCTGGTGATCTGCTCAGAACATAGCAGCCAGGAAAGAGGAAGGAGAAAGAGCCAGAGGGAAAGATACACCTACTCCAATCAGGCCCTAAATGCTAACAACACATTTACCATACACTCATCAATCGATTAGTCCACTGAGGACCATAACGCCCGGTGAGTGAATCATCTTTCACAATCACCACCTCAGACCATATGAAACTTTGGGGGGAAATTTTAGCTCCCTATGATGAGAATAGCACTAAATATCTCAATCATTCCCTAAAGCATGGTTTTGTAATCACAGTAATGCATCTTAGGAATCACTGATAGAAAACAATAATCATTTTAGGAAAATTCTCTGAGTAAGAAGCAACATAGAAAATTAAATTTAAAAGTTGTATTTCCAGTTACTAGCACTATTTGGCTCTTTAGAATGATATATTTTCAAAGGATCACTCCTTAAGCACTGTAGTTAAAATGTTGGCCTTTGTATTGAGAAGTTGTTTACGAATGACTCAAAGGATCAGATAGGAAGATGTGTGAATCAAATTGCTTAATTAACATAAATAAGACCTTAACTGAGAGATTTATTTGCAGATGGAAAGGAAGTAAAGGTAATTATTAGGGTAAGGCCAGAATTGTGCAAAAAACAATGTATTCAAACAAGAAGGGACTGAAACAGAGACTATGAAAAGTGTCTGTGTGCCTCCTTGTCATCTTTGACCTGAGCTAACATTTTAATCAGATAGACTGAGGCCTAGACCTCATACAGACCAATCCCCCAGAAAACTGTCCCAGTCTTATTCGGACTGCCTGGGTTTTAGGTAAAATGTTGAAAAGACAACTGAAGCCCTGAACTCTATTCTTTCAAATGGAACTTGTAAATAATAACAGAAACGTATAATTATAACTTCATAAAAGAAAAGCAGGTGAACCATGCTTGAAATTCTGACATATGTAAGAATTCTGTGCATATGTAAGTACATCTCATTCTCTTTGAGATGGAAGCTAAATTCTTCCAGGCACTTCGCATGACTATGGAGAGAAAAGCATACCCAGCATTGCTACAGCTAGTAAGACAGAAGATGGCTTCATCCATACCTTATTGAAAATTAGTTGAACAATTCTCATTTGTTAAAATTACTATAATTTAAAGAAAAATTACCTTTAAGGCTGTTTTGAACTTCTAAAGCTATATCGAGAGCATTAAAGGGCAGAACTGGTTCATTGGCAATTTGCAAAATCACTTCTCCTGAGAGCTGGAAGAAAAAAGAAAAAAATTACTAGCATTTGGTAATAAAGAGTTCTTGCTTGCTTTTTATTATTTCATATACCTTTTACAACCAGAGGAGCAAAAACATGGAGGAAAAAGCATAATTTCATAAAAGCTTTTTGCTATTAAACCTTGTTATTTTATTTTTCTGTAAAGAAAAAAGGTTTCATCATCTTTTCAAGTCACAAAACAGTACAAAGAAATGTAATGTTTTGTTTGTTTTTTTAGCTAAGAGTATTAAGAAATATCTCCCATTATTGCATGAGTTTAGTAGAATTGAATCAGTTCATTATACAACAGTTTGGAACATGATCAAGCAAATAGGTATGAAGAATAACTAAAACTCAGTATCTGCTCATTGGGTGAAGTAAAATTTGAGATAAAATTAATGATTAATTTATGTCACTTAAACTACCATTTAATTTAAAAGATTTATTAATGTTTTAGGTACCAAAATGCTTTACTCTATCCTATTCATTTTTCAAAATTTATCAAAATGAATACCAGTTATATATCTTTCAGATCCCTGTTTAAATGAAATTTAAAAGAATAAACATGAAAGTGGCATCCCCAAAGCTCACACCTGTAATTTTCATTCATGCAAATCCCCCACCATCCCTCTCAAAAATTGAACTTAAAATCAACATATGTCTATACCTAAACTAGGGTCTAATTAATTGACTGAACAAGTCATGCACTCATACATATCCCAAAGGATCGTAAGGCTGGCAGCAAATGCCACTGCTACCTGTCCCTTTCTCTCACAAGAGATATTTAATATGTACTTGTGCTTAACAAATACTCCTACATCTCTTATAACCTGAATCCAACAGTCAGGGAAATGTGGCTGTGTTGATACTACTAATGTATTATAAAATGTGATTAGTGAATGAAAACATTGCCTATGTATGCATCTACACAGGGAAATCAGTAAACTAACTTGAGACAGTACAGACAAGTAAAAAAATAACATTCAAGGAAAACATGATTTTAAATATTCAAATCCATATATTCAACAAGGACCAAATTCCATTTAGTATTGATAACTGTATTTCCCAACTGTTTGCACAATTCATATCATGATAAAAACACAGACCAACTTGATCTTCTTCCATGTGCTTGGGAAAGTGTGCTTTTCATAAACAAAGAAGAAAAAGAATTACCTTTGATACCACTCTATTCCTTTGGGATATTTTCCTCACAAATGTAGAGACCAATTCTTCCCCAATGCCTACAGTATCTTTGCAGAGTTTTATTCCCAGTGCAAGGATCATAAATATCCTGGGAAACTGCCTGCTCTGACCATGCTGTGTTTCAGGAAAAGAGAATTCTCTTCAGTAGGTTGATAGGGATCCTCCTTCTGCAGCCCTTACACTGTCCAAATCATGAAAGAAACGTTGATATTTGGACATAAATTATTTGTAAAAAGGAATTTTTAAAGAAGATTAAGAAGCGTATGTTTTCTTTTTTCCATTTGGCACTGGATAATAGGAACTGCAGAACAGACAGGTTTTGTTCACACTTTTGGAATCTGGAAGCCAAGCATTACAAAAGAGTAAGATGAAAGAAGGGAGGGAGGACAAAGGGGACTTTGTGTACTGCTGGAGAACGTTGTTTTGTTCTCTCTTTTTGTTCCTTTTTAAGAGTCATTGGGCAGCTTCCACATCTGGAATATACGCCAGTCACCTTCCTAGTTCTTTCCAAAAGAACCTGGCATAAAGAGTTGTACTTTCAAGGCACCTGACCCATGAGGGGACGCTCAGACTAAATTGGCTATATTTGTAGCTTCATGAGCAAGAAGGAGATTTGTGTGCCCTTAGCCATATTGCGAAAAAGATGCGCCACACTGCTGTCTTACCTACTCTGGAAACAGTTTTCCTCAGGCACGGCAGAGCGACCTTTCCTTACATTGTAATGCAGCCTCATTCCTTTCAAAGTGCATTATATCTTTACAACACATTTCATTACACTGACAACTGTCGAGTCCGCAGTGAGACATTTAAGACATATGCTTAAAACATGGAGAATGAGCTTCACTAAGAGTTAAAATATTGGTAAAACTAAACTACCAATAATCAAAATTGATTGAGACCTTATTAGTTATGAGATGCTACACAGAAATTTTTAAACATTATTCCCTTTTAATTCTCACAACAGTTCAGCGAGTCAGATATTATCATATCTACATTATAGCTAATGAAACTGAGGCTCACGAAGATTGGGTAAAGTGCTCAAGACACATAGCTGAACCTTACTGATCTGAAGTTCATTGTTGTTGTAATGTAAAACTTACAAGAGGTGATCAAAGTATGGTAAATATTTAAATTTTTAAATACGATAACTGTGGAAGACACACTGACATTAATTCCTCTCAAAATACTCCTTGCTTTGAACATAGGACATCATTTCTGTCAATTTTCTAAACAGTTTTGGAAGTTCTTTCCTGTGTGCTTTTCAGAGGTAAGATTAAAAAAAAAATGTACAGTGAATGCCGCCACCACTGAATGCCAATTAACAGAAAGACAGACTCATCAAAACATTACAGCGTGCCCTCATCCATCTCCTTCACAGGGTCTGACACCATGCAACTTCTGGTTCTTTCCCAAAGTCAAATGACCATGAAAGGACACAGTTTGAATCAATTCAGGATATCAAGGCAGCTACAACAGTGCAATTAAAGAGAAACAAAAGACTTCCAGAAATGCTTCAGAAAGTGCAAGACCAATGGGATAAGTATGTTGGAAACTGGGGGGTTATTTTGTTGGGGATATTGGCAATGTGCTTTTTATTGTAATATTTTTAAATTAAACATTCACCATATTTTTATCAGACTATATATTCCTGAATCTAGGAAGTCAGTTGTTTTTTCATAAAGAACTAAGGCTAAACTCTAAATATTTTACTTCTTTTCCACTATTCTTTCTCCTGTATTATAATATTTTCTGATTTTAAAAATCTATATTCCTTGAAATATTTTTTTCTGAAATTCTTTGTTCTGTATAACTAATATGCACTAATAAAACATCAGATTAAAACTAAAAACTTAAAAATCTATGTTCCTTGAAATTTATAAGATTAAAAATAGAAAATGAAGAAACTATGTTCCTTGAAATATTTGCCAGTAACTGCAGTATCTAATCTCAGTCTCTAAATGGTTATGATATTTAGATCCTCATGATGTATTGTTGGAAATTTTCTTTTAAATACTTGTGTGGGAAAGTAAATCCCCAATTCATGTGCTCATGGTATTTGGAGAAGAGGCCTCTGGCAAGTACTTAGGGTTAGATCAGAGCATGAGGGTGGACCTCCACGAAGAAATTAGTGATATAAAAAGAGAAACACAGATCCAAGCTTGCATGCTCTTAGGCTGTCTTAGCAGGCAGTGCCCTTTACTATGCTATAATCCAGTAAGAAGGCCTTCACCAGATGCTGTACCTTTACAATGTATTTCTAGTTTTTAGAATTGTGAGCTGAATAACCTTCTATTGTTTATTAACTACTCAGCCTACATAGTCTGTTACAACATCATAAAATGGACAAAGATATAGTAGCAAATAACATTAGTAAAGAATGATTCAACATCTGTGTAATTCCACTGTAAATCTACAAGTATACAATTTGCCTCAAGGCCCTTGCATCCTTCCTTCTCCACTCCTCAAAGACAATCTTACCCATGTCCAGAAGATAAGGAATAAGTTTGAAAGAAAAGACATGCATAGAACTAAAAATACTTAAATGAAACACAGCCTTCCAGTGGGAATGTAAATTAGTACAGGCAATATGGAAACTAAAAGTAGACCTACTATTTGATCCAGCTGTGCTACTCTTTGATATTTACCCAGAACAATTAAAAATAAGTGCAATACAAGGGTTATTTTTCACCCAAATCACAATAGTTAAGCTGTAAGAATAGCCTAGGTGATGAGTAGCAGATGAATGTATAAAGAAAATGTATGTATACACAACTGAATATTACTAAGACCCAAACAAAAATGAAATCATGTCACTTGCAGTAAAAGAGATGGAACTGAAGATCATCATGTTAAGTCAAATAAGCCAGACTCAGACAAGTATGGCACGTATTCTTTCATGTGAGTCTACAAGAAACATAAGCGGTGACACAAATGCAGAAGGGAAAGTCCTAGAGAGGATGAAGAGAATCAGCAGAGAATGAAGCAATGGGCAAGGAGGAGAATATGGGGTGGAAAAGACCAAGCGCATTTAAGAATATGCCATAATGGAATTTTTTGGCCTTTTTTTCTAAAATCCTTTGTTCTGTGTAACTGATATGCCCTAATAAAACATCAGATTAAAGATATAAAATGAAACTATAGATGGAACATGCCAAAGACTTTCTTCTCTCACCAAATAATAGAGATGTCCTTGGAGTTAGTGATTTCATTAACATTACACAATCCTAGATTATTGAAAAACAAAAACTATGTAGTCATCTTCTAGATTTCCTAGATTTCAGGATAATAAAGGCAAACTATAGTTACCCCGTATAAAAGTTTTCTTCCTTCAGTGTGAAATAATTCTATTTTGTTTAAGGATTCAGAGTATTTAGAGAATCTTAATACAATTTTGCCAAGAAATAAGATACATATATGTATAGGATATATATTAGATATATGCAAATGTTCACATATACAATTGCACACATATTCATTTATACTTTTTTCTTAAACTTAGTGAATAATAATCTCTGTCTTTGTGGCCTTACAAGGTAGTATTTATATTCTCTGACTTTGTCAAAAAATAGAAATCATTTTATATTCATTAGGTCAACCTAAAAAGGAGAAAAAGGATATTTGTTTCTTAAACTGTGAATGGAGCTAGAGAACAGCTCCAGGGAATGGAGCTATCTTTTGTCCTTAGTTATAGCCCACTGTTCTCTGTGGTGATTGTGCTCCCAGTAAGTGCTTTGAGTGGACTTATTAGTTAATGTTCCCATAAGTAATTGGACATAGATTGGCTCACTGACCT